AGAAACAAAACCGTGCGACTACTGCTTTGTGGTTGAGCGGGCAGGTTAGTCAAAGCGGACAATATCATTGCTACGGGGTTCTGGGGGCGTTACAACTTGACCATAACTTTGATGTATGTAGGAAGGGGTTGTATTTGTACTCTCGGGGTTCGTTAACCCTGAACGTAGCACATTACGGTCTCAAGCATTGGAAATGGGGGCTGAGTATCAAGCTGATTGGAACACCAAGTGCACCCTCCTAGTTTGTGCATTTCCTAACACCCCAAAGTTTCGACAAGTTGAGGCTGATAACGGTACCATTGTTTCCAAGGTTTAACTTCATATCTCAAATTTCATTTAAGAATCTTTACTCATTGTTGTTACTCGTTAGAGATATAAAAATTTCAGTTGGTACATATATGATATATCACAATGTGATATTCTATAAATTATTTAGCATATGGTTATTGGTGTATTACAGATGATCTCACTAATTTGGTAACCTTATATTAGGATTGGATAACTGAGTGTCACAGCCAGAAACAGCTTGTTGGCATTGAACCTTACCTTCTACATGCTGGTAAACCGTGGAGGCATCAAAGTGGCTCTGTTGGAGCAAGCGAAGGTCTCTCTCTCTCTCTAGTTGAAATCATTTTTAGTTGTACTCAATTAGTCAATAGCTACCACTCCAGCTTTTCTGTCATGCACATGTTCATGCAATTTATAGTCAAAGATCTTTAGATCAAAGGCATCTGATCCAAGTCCATAAGAAACCTAGTTGATAAGCTAGCTCTTAGCTCATAAACTATGATAAGCTAGATGACAAGGACATGTTAAAAAACTAATTGAAAAAACTCTTAGCTCATAAACTATGATAAGCTAGATGACAAGGACATGTTAAAAAAACTAATTGAAAAAATACAAGGGGCATAAACATGTGCATATTCAAACGCTACTCGAAGTAGCGATTCAAAAGCTAGCTTATAGCCGACCAAACGGGGCTTTTTCAGTAAACTCAAAAAATAATCTAGCTTATGGTTGCCAAACATGGCCTAAGTTGTTGCAATGCCAAATTTTGATTCTCTTTTTAGTGGTAATCTTATTCCTTTATAATGTTCCACAGTGTAGAAATGTAGTATCAATTCACTTTGTTTAAAGCTGGTTGGTCAGCATGCAACTACAACTTAGGGGCTGTTTGGTTGGCTTTCCATTGAGTCCTGAATGGATAAAGTTGTCTGCGTGGGATAATGTTTGTATAGATTAGGAAGGTTTTTGTTTGGGAGGGTTTTTTTCATAGATGGAATGAGTGTGTTCTTTAACTGGGTGGAGCAGGTTTGAAAAAAACTTGGCTTTCTGCATAAATCTTTCCCCCTAAAAGCTTACTGAATCACTTTCTATATCATTAAACCACTAGCAAACAGTCATGTATGGTTGACCGAATAAGCTGTGAGTCCCGTTAAGCTGCTAACAAACAGGACCTTAGCATGCTCAATTTTTCTTTCTCTTGGTTTTTGTCTGTTATCCTCTCATCAATCTAAGGTTTTGTAAACTTGGGTTGGGTTCCGGTGAGAAGGAGACTTAAGGTGAGAAGTGTAAGAAAGGATCTCCACCCTTGGATGCACATTAGGATGATATGCACCGAGATGAGATGCACTGGGATGCAGCAGATCAAACCCTGTATCAAGCACGGTTCATGGGTGGGTTTGAGATTAAAGGTGATCAAGGGTCCAGATCCCTTCTCATGCTTCTCATCTTAACTCTCCTTCTCACACAATCCTTCACCTTGTAAACTTTATGTTTTTACGTTGTCTAGTGAGTAAACTATCGACATCTGATTTTTATTGGTGATTGCAGATCCAAAACCATCTTCATCAAAGAACTCTCTTAAGCAAGTAGACAAGCTTGCAGATTCAAAACCACGCCCTTCTGCCTCGACCAAGGTTTACTTAGTCATCTTAATTTAGTTATTGAACGATGTGCATCTCTCTTCATTTGTTTTAAAGGTAATTGCAAATCAAGCACCTTTACCAGTGCCTTCGATTACAATGATCCCTTTGTATGTGATATCTGAAACAGACGGACAATAAGCACTCTAGAAATGAGTTTCCGACTTCTGAAGTGAAGAAATGGGCAATAGATGACATGAAAAAGACCATATCATGGTTGGACAGCCAAGAAGAAAAGGTATGGCAGATTGGTTTTCTAAGTTGTGCTGCAATGAGACTGAGCTACTCCCCCCCAACCCCAAAAAAACTAATAAAAAGGGTTATTTAGCTAAATGATGTCCTAACAAGTGCTTTTTAAATCCATGATACTTTGATAAGTTTCTAGGCATTCTTGTGTATGGAAGTGATGTTCTCAACCCTGTTAGAAGGTCATGGATTTAAAAAAACCCGTGTTAGAAGGTCATTTAATTTAACCGAAGGACCCTAAAAGAAGCTCGAGCTGGGATGTCTTTTCCTTTCCTTCAACTTATTCTTGTGCATTACACAGCCTGATCCAAGTGAGATAAAGAAGATAGCAGCTGAAGGAATCTTGACATGTTTGCAAGATGCCATAGATTCTCTCAAGGAAGGGAAGGTATGAACTTTCTCCTTATATCATCAATAAAATAATTTTCGTCCCCCAAAACAGAAGTTGTAATCAATTTGTATATTTTGCCACTCCATATACCTTCTGCCTCCCAAGGGAAAGCAAAAAAACCGAAACCGATGGTGAAAACGGAAACCCGAAATTTTCGGGTCGAGTTCGGGGACTTCTTATCGGGGACGGGGCGGGGATCGAGGACATATTCAGGGATTTTATTAGGGACAGGGATGGTGATCACCGGCCCGATACGTGTATATATATTAATTTATATATAATATCATTAAAAGAAAAATACTAATTTAAAAGGCTTTTTATCTACTTTCCCTCAACACCCCAAATAAGCCTCACTAAAAGTCTAGTTTATTTGTCTAATCGTGATGTTAGTTGGATGATATTTGAACCTTTATTTACTTTTATATTGTAATCCAAGACATTGTTCGTAATGATTTTGATTATGTTTGAGACATTTAAACTTGCATGTTTTAAAAATTATAATTTACTTTTCCTTGTGAAAATTAACATGTTCTAATTTTTTCCGGGCCGGTTTTGGTTTCGGTTCGGGTATAACCAACGGGGAACGGGGATTTTTACCCTTGACAGGTTCCCAGCGGGGGTTGGGACACCGTGGGGCCAGATGGGGATCCCCGATAAAATTCCGGGGATCGGGGATGTTACAGGGACGGTTCTGGTTATCAATTTTGGACGGGGATACGAATAACCGGCCCTAACCCGGCCCGTTGCCATTCCTCTCCAAAAAATCAACATGTACAAAAGAGGAATGTAATATTGTTTTTTCGACCCGTTCGTGTGTTATATTGAAATCATTATGAATTTCTGTTTACAGGGTATGGAAGAAATAATGGAGCAGTGGAGTTTCATCCCACGGGTCGTTATGGAGCTGAACAAGCTGGAAATAGCCAGAGATAGTCCGGTTTCTGCTTCTAAAACCGAGACCTACAAACAGGCTATCGTGTTCAAACGGATTTACGAAACGGAGCTCAGGAAATTGGAAGACGAGACGAACGATAAGAAGAAACGACAAAAGATCGAAAAGGGTGGAAAAACGAGCAAGGATGAGGAGGGTTACGACAGCGATGATACGATCGAGATGACAGAAGAGGAAGTAAAGGAAGCATTCAATAGTGTTGCATCTCGCATTGTAGTAAATGATAACCAGTTTGGTCATAGATGATGATGGTTCCAAGTTCATACTGCAAGAATCAGGAACTCTCATGCTTGCTTGGTCTTTTCATGGTTTTATCAAGTATTTGTGTTATATCTGGAAAATATATTTTAATTAAATCTATGATCTTTTTACATGCTTTTGGCGTGTAACTCAGTCGGTAAAAAGGTGGGATGATTTTGTCCAAATATAAGATAGGTTTTGAATTCGACCCCTCTAGTCTCAATGATTGGAGGCAAGTTTCGTGTGGGATCGGTTGGGGTTGTCGGTAATCAACTTTTTATCTAAATGATCTTCTGATCTATTTAACTCATGTTGATCAGATAAGATCATGGATTTAATTAGAATCTTGTTTCAAATTATATACCTAAATTTAAGCTGTGTAATAATGGAATAAATAACCCTTCAGGAAAAAAACTATTCGTATAAACAAAATATTTATGAACATATAAAAATTAGGGTATGCTTAGTGGGTTTTTTATTACGTTATTTATTGGTAAAACTGTATATCCGAATTAATCTTTTTTTTTTATTAACCTGGATATCCAACTCGTTATGCGAGCCGACTAATCCCAGGGCGACCACCTGCTTTGCAGATAGCCCGGAGACACCGCATTTGTACCTCCGTGGCCACAAGAGGATTCTTATTCATCCTTGGATTCGAACGTGAGACCTCCAGGTACTTTTGACCTTTGGAGCCAAGCTCAAACCAATCAGGCACCACCCTTGTGGTTGAATTAATTTTTTTGTATAAATTGAAAATATTTTTGTTTGAGAGAGTTTTTCATAGATGAAATGAGCGTGTTTTTTAATTAGAAAGAGAGGGTCTAGAAAAAACTTGGATTTTGCATAAATCACTTTTTATATCATCACGTCGCTATCAAACAGTCGTGTACAATTTGCCGAATAAGCTCCTAACAAACACACTCTTAATATAACTTTGATATATTATGCATATGTATGACTTAATATATATGTATTTTTAGAAAACGAATACTAAACTTTTTTGAGGTATAATAAGTTATGGATTAGGTGTAAATATTCAACATATGCGTTCACAACACATTTCTAACAATTTACTGATGTCTGGTATTATTATATTAACATTAACAGCTAAATCGAGAACGGTAAAAACATAGACCATGTTAATAAAACTAAAAGTTAACGTTTTACTGGACAAGCATAAGGGATCATTTACTTTGCATTAACTTTCGTTTCCGGTCGACATGGGTGAGATGAAGCGGAGGACGACAACGATGAGCAAACAACAGATTAACAATCAAGTAGATGACCATTATCGATTTACTAAACCCCCCTTAATTCTAATAGTCAGATTACTTTAACAAGTCACCAATTCCAAACTGTGAAGTCCCTGATAATCCAAATCGAAGCCCAACTAAAATCACAAAAAACCTTAAATAACGGATTGTAGATTTCAGACCCCGATTTAACATAAAACGACAACGAAATCATGATGGATAGCATTAACGTTAGCAGTACTTCTAAACGACGATTCGGTTAATGGTCGTTAACACACTGATATCATAGCTATATCGACATGATTAACTAGTTTTTATAGATTTCACTTTTCAAGCATAGTTACAATTTCCATAAGTTGAGTGGCCGGAATTCAATATTCATTAGTTTAGTGCCAAAATCGAAAATTAATTTAATTTCTATATTTTATCCTCAAGAATTAGATAATTACACACACAGCCCTCGTAGTCTTCCAACAATAAAAGGCTTTTGGCATTGGCTCCCTCGTTTTCTTCTTTTCTGAGTAGGGTTGCAGCAGATAAACGCCACCACTCACCCCTTTCATCTCTCCATCTCTCTCTCTCTACGGTTCCCTAAAGACCTTCACTGAACTATCGAACCACTGTGTGTTTGTGTGTGTTTCTTACATCTAGTTTATCTCTCTAGAAGCGTCTAATTGGCAATACAAACAATGGGCGCTTCGCTTCCTCCCAAAGAGGCCAACCTGTTCAAGCTAATCGTCGTAAGTTCTTCAATCTCTGTGGATTTAATCAGTGTATCGATTTTGTTATTTCTTCTGTTACTGTATCTAAAGAACCCTAGTTTTTTTGGTAGTATGTATAGCTAACTATCTCGTTGACTGTTACTCCCGTGTTGTAGATGAATTTGGATCGTTCATTGTGATTGTGAAGTCTTTGTTGTTGTCATGAAATAAACTAAAGATGCCAGTTTTATGTAATATTTAAGAAGCCTTTGTTATGGAGACTGCCAGCATATTGTTTTAATGCTTTTGTTATTGCTCATGCATTTGATAACACATTCAATGAACTGTGGATTGGTGCTTCTTTCTGATGAATAAAAATTTGAGCTTTATGTTACATGCAACACTATAAATCCATTATACAAATGCGGAGTTTGCGGTCTGTTTATTAGCAGCTTAATGAGCTGAACGAGTCTCACAGCTTATTCAGTCAGCTATAGATGACTGTTTGGTTAGGCTTAATGAAACAGAGAATGCCTTTTTCATTAAGTTTTTAGGGGGAGCTTTATGCAAAAAGACAAGTTTTTTTTTCCAAACATGCCCCCACCCCCAAATTAAAAAAACATGCTCCTTCCATTTATTAAAAAACCTTCGCAAACAAAAATATTTCCAATCTACACAGACAGATTAATCCAATGCAGACAACTTTATCCATACATGACTTAATGGAAAACTAAATTAACAACCCCTTATTCTTTTTCAGTTATGCTTTAATTTAGCGCTGTAAATAAGTTACTGTGAAGCAGAGACCATTTTTTCAACTATAGTATGGAATATGGATGAGACAAGGGCCAAAATTGTTTTCATCTCATTTGTGGAGCAGTAGCTATATAAACTAATGTCACTTGATGGTTCAGCACTGAACTGAACCTCACATTCGAATTGCATTAGGCTGTACAACATACATGCGTGCATGCATACATTATTTTGATTTCCAACCATTTCGAGTCTGTGAATAGTGGTAATTTGCGGATACTTCACATATTGTATTGTTCTATTATAGTTCTACCAATGTCTTTCTAGAACCAGCATCATTGCCTGACTGTCTTGAGTGGTTTGCTAATGAAGTGATTACATGTTTTCTTGATTGTATGTTTGGCAGAAATCTTATGAAACAAAACAGTATAAGAAAGGGCTGAAGGCTGCAGATGCTATATTGAAGAAGTTCCCAGAGCATGGAGGTTTGTTAGAAGTTATCATCTAATTCAACTCTAAATTACAGCCTTGATGCTTTCCAAACATCTGGATATTAAGGAAATGCTACTCGTCTTAGCCTATTGATTATAAGTTGCATTCTTCTGTTCTGGAACAATGCTACGATCTTCTGCATTTTTCGCATAAATTATATATGTACATATATATGCTGCATGCTAGACTGACATCTTTATGTCAAGTAATAACATGCGTTTTGTTATTTGTGAAATTAGTCATGTTCTTTGTAAGGATGAAAATCAGATTAGATGAGCTCTTGAGTTTAGATTAATTTTTTAAACTAGATGTGCGATATACTATAATGAATTAACGGCTATTATTGAATTCATCCCACTCAATAGTACCTGATAGGGGAAGTAAAATTAATCCTTGTTCATCCTTGGGCTACTCAGTGGCTGTTTTAATTGTTATCGAGACTACAAAGGCTGTACATTATTGTTTGAGCCATTTTCCCTAGTATACTTATCAACTTGGTTATCTTGAACCATTTCATCATTGCTGATTGGTAGGATTCTTTAGCCCTCCGTATGTTTATTGTTCTGCAACAGAGTACTTTCACAAAATTGAATTTTGAGTTTCTGGGTAAAGGGATTAATATCTTTATTTCTGTCTTTAACTTTTAAGATTCTTTATTTGGTTTCTAGAAACTCTTTCGATGAAAGGATTAACGCTGAACTGTATGGACCGTAAGCCAGAAGCATACGAGCTAGTACGGTTGGGATTAAAGGTCGGGATCTTTTTCTTGTACTTCTCATTTAACATTTCGTAACTTTTTGGTGATATGATATTGATCTTAAGACTGGTTATTCCATTGTAGAATGACTTGAAAAGCCATGTTTGTTGGCACGTGTATGGTCTTCTGTACCGGTCAGACAGAGAGTACAGGGAGGCAATAAAATGTTACCGCAATGCTCTGCGGATAGATCCTGACAACATCGAAATATTGAGGGACCTATCGCTTCTACAGGTAATATTATAACATCAGATAACTGTTATTTGAAACTGTTCTTTCCTTCCTTCATGCAACTTTTATTTCATTTGGAGCAATTTATGAGTCATGCAAGTGAAAATCTTAGTCTTGGAAAAAGGGCCAAACTGGGTCTTTAGAGTTAGTCTACAAGCATGCAATGATCCTTGGGATGTTGTCAGGGGTTGCTATACATCCATAGATAGATAATTTTGACTAGCAGTTCTATCAAAACGCGTTTACTTTGCAAAGAAACCGAACTGTTGTTGCTTTTGACACTACATCTCATGTCGATGCTATCATCAGATGACATTGGTAGTTTGTGACTCCTCCAAAAGGAGTGTTGATTGGTTGACATTCGTTGTTTTTGGACAGAATCGAAATTGATCAAACCCAATTTTTCATTGGATATTGGATCATTACAATCGATTCAGTCCAATTAACCATTGAATTAGACTAGTTTTGATTATTGGATATTACTATTGTTTATTTATTGGATTGGATCGGATTGATCCAATATTTTGAACCAATTATCTTTACATTTCACTTAAAAAACACCACTCATAAATAGGGATTCATATAAATCCAACATAATATATAGTTGGATGACATTTGGATGATAACTGTATTGGATCGCGCTGGTTGTATTGGATTTGGACTATCGTTCAACAACTGATTGATGCAATTTGGGTATTGGAATTCTGGATCCGAGCAATCCGATTAAAATTGGATATCTAATTTTGGTCGATTGGTTGTTATTGGATTGGCTGGTTGTAATTAGATTAGATGACTTTCTGCACAGCCCTACTTAAAAGTCGCAAGCATGAGAAAGCAAACATGAGGTTTTTGTTGTACTATCATCATATTGTCGTTTAATTTCTTATGTTTTGTCTTCTTTAATGTCCCTTTGTTTTATCTCCTTTGTATTTTGTTTAGGGTGGTTAATGGTGCCTTTTCTTCCCTGCTTGCAGGCACAAATGCGTGACTTAGGTGGTTTTGTTGAAACTAGACAACAGCTGCTGACCTTGAAACCAAATCATCGCATGAATTGGATTGGTTTTGCAGTTTCTCATCATTTGAACTCAAAGTAAATTGTGATACCCCGCTATATTAACATTAATGCAATTTAAATATTTGTTTTCCCAGACCTCCTATTATCTATTTATACAGCGATAAAAATCTTATTTTGTTTAGGTTTCATTCAGTTATACTATTTTTCACCATCTTCAGGATCCCATAATCATTATTTCTCACGTCAAGTGAAAAGGGCCCACAATCGCATTTTCATTTATTCTCACACATTATAGATGGCACCTGCAAAATGATGAATTGCGAAAACCATAGGACCTTGATCTTCTAGCTTATATGAGCACTTGTAAAGTGCTATCATTGTTGTTGAAAGGATATATAATGATATATGTCAAACTATCATACTCATCCTTTACAATCATTTGGAGGGGTTTTATGTTCTCAGCAGCAAGAAAATAATGTTGCCCCATTCATGGCTATGTTTTTTTTGAAGTATCTAATACTTATATATGGCAAATAAAACAAATAAACTCACTCACCCTCCTCACATTTGGTGAGGTTTGAACGCCTGACCTCCTAGGAGGCCAAAGGCTCACATACCGCTAGGGCAAAGGCCCTTTGGTATTCATGGCTATGTTTTGCTTTATTTGCTTTTGTTATGATTAGTTTATACATTACACTTGTTCAAAATGGTACTTAAATCAAAGGATCTCATTATAGATATAAGCTGGCAATATAGATACAAGCTTAAATCAAAGGATCTCATTATTGCTTATGATCACTGCATCCATAGGGACTACGGTTGAATTTGCTTGATGAATTTATTGAAGCTTTTGCATTATTTTTTGTACATGGAATACAATCATTTGAAGTCACGGCAATGGTTTTAAACTTCTGTTCAACCTTTTTTGTTTAAACAATTATTCTCTCCCTATACACGTGCTAGCAGCTACCTGCACACTTGCTCAATTCAATGGAAGTTATATCTCAATATCTTCATGACCTTGTACCAGTGAATTATAGTCTACGGACTCTATAGTTTCATGAGGGAAGAGTTTGGTTACCGCTAACCAGTGGTTATGATATTAAGTGATTAAGTCCATCTTTCCTGCTGTCCTTCTGTAACATATTAACCTTTATGTTGTTTGGCCAGTGCATCAAAAGCCATTGATATTTTAGAAGCATATGAAGGGACTCTTGAGGATGATTATCCTCCAGATAATGAAAGGTGTGAACATGGGGAAATGCTGTTATACAAGGTAATATATGTAATAGCTAACTCTAGAATAGTATTACTTTAGATTTAACTTTTTATTGATCGAGTTGATATCAATGTGCATGTTCTATCATAGTTGATCGATCCAGATGATTGTCTTCACTGAACAGGGTCTACAAGCAATATGATAGTCAAATATGGAATGTGTTTATATGGCCATTAGATTTCCCACCATGTCAAACTCTTTTGTTTAAGAGCATCCTTTGCAAGTTAACAATTGGTTGATGAATGTAATTTTGTTATGTAGAAGTTTCTGTTATATTTGTTGCCGTTAACTGTTAATCAACACAAGACAGAAGGAACGCTTTGCAAACATTTATAGAAAAGTCTCTGTACATATAGATAAATGTTGTACCCATTGAGCGAGCATATTAGTTATCTGTATATGTCTATATTGTGAAATGGGTAACTTTGATCTCAGTGTAATAGATTCCATAGATATGTTACTGCACTTGTTATCCCACTGGCTGTAGTTGCTTTAAATGGATCATTGCCTCTGCCAGTTACTCTATTGGTATATGAAATATACACTTTGGATGTCCAAAGTATCCACCTAAATGATGCAGAGTTGCTCTGCGTTGCATTACTGCAGATGGGTCCAATTCATCGCTATTCATGGCCATCAGATGGTAATATCAAATGCCGAAGATGTGTTATCTGCTTTTTGATCCAGGGATATCCCTTGACCACACACGCATGCACACACACACACACTCTCTCTCTCTCTCTCTCTCTTGTTATATAGGGTATAGCCGTGTAGGTTGAACTGCTAATGCCTTTGATTAGAGATTTTACATTGCCGTAGGATTGAGTATATAGGGAAAAGATCTAGAGAGAACCCCCATAAAGGAAGAACCGCAGCACCCATCCTAATCGTTAGATTGAGATGATTCAATGGATGTAGTTATTACCGCCTTTAAAAAAAATAAAAATACCCCCCATTTTTAGTCGAAAATCGGCGAAATATAAACTAAAAACAAATTACACCAAAAAACGATTATTTTATTATTTTTAACTACATCCAAATTGATATATACTTTTTCATCCCCTTTTTTCGTGGTTCTTTGGTTTCTTTTTGAGGTTCTCCCATGATCTCATCCCTATATATAGTTTCTTGTTTAACAGTCAGTATTTTATCTGGGTCTTCCTTGAAATCTGTGTTACCCTTGAGTATATGGTATGAAGTTTCTGGTCATTCAGCATTGCCGTATTGTCTACTTACAGCCTGTACTTCATTATGTGATCATAAATACTTTATGAAGTTGATATTTGCTTGTTAGTCGCATTTGCAAGGAAGACTCACTTTTGATGGCTTATGTATGCCTGTGTTGTTCCCCAGATATCTCTATTGGAGGAATGTGGATCCCTTGAGAAAGCTCTTCAGGAGTTGCGCAAGAAAGAATTCAAGATTGTATGTTCATCGTCTATTTGCTTTGCATTGTTATAGATGAGAGAAACAATTGGCTTAATTTGTCACCTTCTGCGAATGCCATGATAGGTTGATAAATTATCCTACAAGGAAGAGGAGGTTTCTCTTCTTGTGAAGCTTAATCGTCTGGAGGAAGGTGAAAAATTATATAGAGTTCTGCTAGCAATGAATCCTGACAACTACAGGTAGATTGCTATGCTTAAGGATTTTCTGTTATTTCAGGACTTCGAGTCACTTTTTGAATTAGATGATAACTTTCTACTGAAAGGTCTGTTGGTACTATTGCCATGAGTTATCTGTGACATTAGATTGAAATATATAATGTTGTTCCGTTAACTCATAAATGAATCATGAAGAGTGGAGGTTTTGATAGGTTGTATAGACATGTTTCATTGTGGTTCTTTTTCATCAAGGATTAGATGTTCAGCTCACACAACTGACACAGTGACATTTAATGTTAAGCACAGTTCTTCCATTTACGCGTAAGTAATTGTTCCCCTTGCTCTGTTAGATACTACGAAGGACTGCAAATGTGTGTTGGACTGCATTCAAAGATTGGCCAATATTCCCCTGATGAAATTGATAAGTTGGACGCTTTATACAAGTCGCTTGGGCAGCAATACACCTGGTCTTCTGCTGTGAAGGTGATAAATTTATGTGTGCTTATGTCCTTTCTCACTTAACTTGAGATTGTAGTTTTTTTGTTATTGACAAAAGGGAACTGTGTTTAATGCTGACCCATTCTGGAAAAGAAGTTGACAACTATGCCAACTCTGGTTTTTGAACAGAGTGGTCTTTTCTTCTTACAAAAATGAGTGTGGTGTTGCCGTGTTGGTCTGTGGTTGTTTCTTGTCAGAGTACTTGTTTTTAGATGGATAATCTAGATTTTCACCATCATAACGTAAAAACAAATAGATATAAAGATGGGCCATTATTTCTTAAACAATTCTGTGTCCTTGAGGATTCGATTTTTTTTGACTTCTTCGAGGATTGAAGAATTTGATTTTTAAGTGATTTGATTCCATAGTAGATCAAGTTTACATCTTGAAAATATAAAAAGAAATTGAAATTCTGACCTTGCAAATGTATACAGATTAAATTGATTCTCAATCAGATAATCAGCAAGTTAGATTGCATATGTGAAGAGAAGAGGGGGGGATTCTAAATTGGAATTGAGGGAAAAGATTCTCAGTAATTATTATCTTAATGCAAATAAGATGGTTATTAAAGAAGTGATTGTGCTTCCATACAGCTTGTTTCTAGACATGAGATTGTGTGTTCACTACGGTATGCAAGACTGCAAGTTGTAACACCTTCCCATATGTTCGTTAACTCATATAACACCTGCGAGTCCTTGGAGTATAATGCTTAATGGTTTGTGAATTAAATCCCCGAATCATGTTGAATGTGATGAGCTCAACTTTTCTATTCATGGATTTGGTTTCCTGTCATTTTCTCTGATCTAATTAATATTGTAACACCTCTTCAACTTCGTAGGGTGCTAAGATTGTTTACTCAACTTTAAAGTTTATTCGGCTTATGGTGATCTTTTATTCAAGTTATTGGAATATTGTCTCTCTTCTCCCTTTCTAAATTACAACACTTTATTTTTAGAGGATCCCGTTAGATTTTCTAGAAGATGTAAAGTTCCGGGATGCCGCAGATAACTATGTTAGGCCTCTTCTAACAAAGGTACTTAACAGTCTTGTTTTTTGTTGCTTTGATGACCCTTCTTTGTATTGTCGACTCTTTAACTTCCACTAATGACACATGTAGGGAGTTCCTTCACTGTTCTCTGATCTTTCTCCTCTATATGATCATCCTGGCAAGGTTTGTGGACACTACCATATTAAAGCTTTTAGAACTGTTCGGTTCATGCTTTGTTCCATCACTATGACAAAATTCTACCCTTTTTCTACAGGCCAGTATTCTGGAAAGGTTGCTCCTTGATTTGGAGGAATCACTAAAGACAACTGGTGGATACCCTGGAAGGTGAATTAATATTAATTCCTGCTTTTCAGATTTTGGAATAGCTTATCTTGTGGTGTAGATGTGTCAACTTATAGGCCTGTCTGCAAATTTAATCATGGAACAGGCTTTGGAGTTTTGTAATTTGCATATTTTCCTTGACACAAATATACTTCGGGGCTGTTTGATTCATTGAATTCAAAGGATTTCAAGGGAATTGGAATGGTTAATTCTTTTGACGAAATTCCAATTCATTTGGTTGGTTCAAATATTGAGAATGTTGGAATCCTTTGAATTCTATTGAATTCCTTCGATTAAAGATTTCACCATTCCACGGCATATCCCAAAGATTCCAATTCCTTACAGTTCCATCCAACCAAACTTGTGCTCAAATTCTATTTCAGTTCTTCAAAATCAAATTCCTTTGATGGTTTCCACCAAATTCCATTATGCGAATCAAACGCCCCCTTGGTGTTGAACCAAGTCTTTGTGGAACATGACCTATTTACCTTTCCTCATTTTTTTGTTTCTTTGAAACATTGTAACACTATTTTTATTTCAGTGTTATAATATCTATTTGTACAACTTATGTTGATGGACTTCAATTTTCTGGGAAGCATGGACTTGTTTAAATTTTGTCGGGTCTCTTCCTGTTTTTAAGACATGGAACTCTGACTTGTGTGTGTGTATATATGTATACACTTTTGATTATGATTATAGTTTATTTGTTACTACTGGGGCTTCTACATTGTGCATATTTACAGTTATGGTTACGGTTATAGCAACAGTCAGCAATCAACATCGATAGGAGCTTATATGGTTCTTTTGAGTCTTCAGATGCATTATTGGAATGCAAATTGAAATCAGACCACATGGCTACTTCTCACTATGAAATATGCTGGCACTGCTTCTTGTGCCATGGAATTTTCTATAGCTAGTGTGGGTACAATAGACACTACTCTTTCTATGGCATGATAACATATTCTCATTTTTGAAGATGCTATAACCTGCCTTGCAATTGAACAACCCCAACTGCAAATATGCCGTCTTCATTACAGTKGCGGAGCTACCTTATAGCCAGAAGGGGCCAAGGCTGCCCCTGAACTTTTATAGAAAAAAGTTCTAATATAGGCTCGAAGTTTATTACCCCTCAAAACTTTGTTTATTTATACCAAATTATTCTTTTCCTTTCTTTAAAATACCAAAGAAATTCTAAGTTTTGTTAAATAAGAGAGTTTTCCCCCGATAACATTCATGTATTTTCAAAAGGTTGCATTTTTTTATATTTTACTTGTGGACACATCTTGTGTTTGTTCATGTAAATATAAGCATAGTTATGTTGTTCAGCCCTACTATTTTAACAACCAATGTCTATGGACAAGTATTAATAAAAAAACATATCTTTTAAAAAGGTCTTTTGAACATTAAAATCGTATTCTTAGTGTTTCTAGGCTCCCCCTAGATAAACTTTCTGGCTTCGCCCCTTGTCTTCATAGTGTTTCTATAGCTCGTCATTTTTCTTGATATTTTGGTGGGTACATGGTAGAAGGTTAAAAGAAGTTAAACGTGCATCAATTCTGTGTGTGTGTGTCTTCATTCAGTGTTCTGGCAAGGGCTGAGGGAATGATATGTTGTTGAAAGTCTATATTTCTTGGAAGACGTCGTTTATACTTTTTAAAAATGTGTTTAACTTGTCACACTGCTGTTGTTCATTGCTCTGTATGTGTTTAACTTGATGTCATGCACTTTTGTCGTTATCAACGCACATAACTGGAATATATGGGTGAAATTTGTGGCTTGTTTCAAGTACAAGATAGAACCATGTAATCTGAACTCAATATGATGATGTGCTGCATCAATCGCATGTATTGATTGACTTCTATTCGTTTTTCTAAATTATCCGAATCTGAAATTCCATCCATTTTCTAGTAGAGATACAGCTTCATTGCAATTCATGTTATGGGTTTATTTTTATATGTAGCCAGATTATCTACTTTTCTAGCCCCATTTATGTTAACATTAAATTATGATGTTGCATCTAATATATAGGTCGGAGAAGGAGCCCCCTTCAACACTTTTGTGGACCTTGTTTTATTTGGCTCAGGTTTGTTCTCACTCAATGAACGGTTTGCTTTTATAAAATTTCCTTTTTCTCATTTTCATGAAGTTCTGCATGTGTAGCATTATGACAGACGAGGCTTGTATGATATAGCTCTAGCGAAAATTGATGAGGCTATGCAACACACTCCAACTGTTATTGATTTATACTCTGTCAAGGTTTGTTTTTACCATCCTTTTTTTATACTTTATTATAAATTGCAACATGACTTATCTGTGAGGCCTTTTTCTGATGTTTTCTTGTTGATATTGCATGTCAAAATGGTATTTTGCTAAGCATTAACATGGAGATTGTGAACTGTCTGAATCCTCAGTATGTGGATCTTTTTAATCATAATGGGGTTTCTTTTGTTCACAGAGCAAGATATTGAAACATGGTGGGGACTTTGCAGCAGCTGCTGCATTGGCAGATGAAGCTAGATGCATGGATCTTGCAGATCGTTATGTAAATAGCCAATGTGTCAAACGAATGTTGCAGGCTGATCAGGTTGAGAACATCAAATAACATTTTTCCTTCACTTCGGGGCTGTTTGGTTTGTTTTCCATTAACTCCTGTACGGATTAAGCTCTGTGTGTATTAATCTGTCTGTATAGATTGAGAAGGCTTTTGTTTGGGAGGGGTTTTTCATAGATGGAATGGGCGTGTTTTTTAATTGGGAGGGAAACGTTCGGAAAAAAGTTGGCTTTCTGCATAAAGCCACTTTCTATATCATTAAGCCACTACCAAACCGTCTGTATGGCTCGTCTCTTTTCTTTTCATCCAGTATTGCTGCTGATCTTTCTTTGATGTCACCTGTAACCCGATTTCAACATTACGTCAGACACAAAAAATGTAAGATAAAGGGATGGTGAAACAGAGTAAGAGGCTATTTGGTTGGTTTTCCATTATATCCTGTATGTATAGAGCTGTCTGTGTGGATTAATTTGTCTTTATAGGTTAGAAATCTTTTTTGCTTGGGAGGGTTTTTTTCATAGATGGAATGACCGTGTTTTTTTGGGAGGGACAAGTTTGGAAAAAAACTTGGGTTTCTGCATAAAGCTCCCGCCTAGAAGCTTACTGAATAAGCCACTTTCTATATCATTAAGCCACTACCAAAGAGTCATGCATAACTGACCGAATAAGCTGCAAGTCTCATTAAGCCTATTAAGCTGCTAATCTTTCTTCCACATGGTACACCATTTCTTACAGGTTCCACTTGCAGAAAAGACAGCTGTGTTGTTCACAAAAGATGGAGATCAGCACAATAACCTTCATGACATGCAGTGCATGTGGTTAGTGTTTGTTTACAAACTTGACTCTGAGTACATTCGAGAACATATATATATATATATATATATATAGAGAGAGAGAGAGAGAGAGAGAGAGAAACATCTAACGATTTGAAATATCGTCATTTGTAGGTACGAACTTGCATCTGGGGAAAGTTATTTTCGCCAGGGTGATCTTGGACGTGCTTTGAAAAAGTTCTTGGCTGTTGAGAAACATTATGCAGATATTACGGAAGACCAATTTGATTTCCATTCTTATTGCTTAAGAAAAATGACTCTGCGTGCCTATATTGAAATGTTAAGGTTTCAAGATCTGCTCCATGCACATACGTACTTTAGGAAGGCAGCAGTTGGAGCTATAAGGTGAAGCTTCATACTTTGCTTTAGTTTGCATTTTTCATTGATAGATAACTGACGAAAATACTTCTCTCTAAAGAAGTTATCTTCTACTTATCCCTTTCAACATGATGGTTTTTTTGTAGTTAACCGCTCTTTGGTTGGTTTTCCATTAAGTCCTCTTTGGATAAAGATGTCAGTGTGGATTGATCTATCTGTATAGATTGGGTGGGTTTTTTGTAAGATCACATCCCACATTGGTTGGGGGAGGGGAACAAAGGTTTCCTTATAAGGAACTGGACACCTTCTCCAACAGACACATTAAACCATGAGTCCAGGTTTGGACAAAGTCGACAATATCTAATACTGTTTGCCTGGATGGGATGTTATATTTTTGTTTGGGAGGGTTCTTCATAGGTGGAAGGATCATGCTTTTCAATTGGAAGGGAGAGGTTTTGTAAAAAACTTGGCTTTCTACATAAAACTCCCCTAGAAGCTTACTGAATAAACCACTTTCTATATCATTAACCATTACCAAACAGTCGTATGTAGTTGACCAAATATGTGAGTTCCATTAAGCTTATTAAGCTGCTAACAAACATGCCCTAACTCTTTGTTTCTTCATGCTATCCATTGTCTCATATAGATGTTACATCAAGCTTTATGATTCACCTTCAAAGTCATCGACTGAAGAAGATGATGAACTAGCAAAATTGCCCGCTTCTCAGAAGAAGAAATTGAGGCAAAAGCAGAGGAAGGCCGAAGCACGAGCTAAGAAAGTATTAACTAGTTACCTCTAAGGGATGCAAATAGTGCGTTTTGTCCTCTCTATGTGACGACATGTATATTGACCATTTGACCTTTTATGTTTTCATAGGAGGCAGAAGTGAAGGGTGAGGAAGCAAATGTTGGTGGTGTTTCGAAATCCGGGAAAAGACATGTTAAGCCAGTTGATCCAGATCCACATGGAGAGAAACTATTGCAGGTTGCCCCCTCCCCTTCCATCTTTCTTGAGATGCAATCATTTAAATCATTTGCTAATTGTTTGTTTTTCTGATCTTTTAATCTTTCTGATGTTAGACTGAAGATCCTTTGATGGAAGCGGGAAAGTATCTGAAGTTGCTGCAGAAACATTCATCTGATTTTTTGGAGACACATTTGCTTTCTTTCGAAGTAAATATGAGAAAGCAAAAGATCTTGCTTGCATTGCAGGTAATTTTATTTAATTTTCTTCCATAAAACTTTTCTTGGAAATTTCGATAGCAAAAAAGGAGCATTTTGATCCAGAAAACTTCCAAAGAACTCTAATCATGGCTGGAATTTATCAGAAGCCCACCGAAAAGGGCTTCCATGGGGCTCCAATCTTACAACCTCTGTGGGTTGCGATGTTGCATACTTCCCACAAATTTTTGACATCCTTGTTAGGCCATAACAGATGACCAAAACCATCATCCACATAACCCGGTAAGTCAAGCCGTAAAACAATCTATAGAATCCAACCTTCTCTAATATAATTTGTAACAAGCATGGTTTTAAAAAGCGCTCAAGGCATATGCCTCGAGGTGAGGCGCTGGAAGATCGAGTTTGAGGAGGCGCCTCTCATGGGTTAGTTGAGCCGCTTATGCCTAGAGCCACTGAGGCGGACCTTGAGGGGTGCTGAGGCTGGGGTTAGGAATTAGGGTTTAGAAATCAACTTACTATTTTATTTTTTATAAAATAAACCCGTTTCTTGCTCGTCTTCTCCTAGTTTCGTTTGTCATCTCCAACATTTTCGCTAGTCTTCCAGTTTGAAGAGCATCACGTGTGTGTGTGTATATATAGGGTCAGGGGAAAACCACAAAACAATGAAAAACTGAGGAACACTTTGGTAGCCGTTCATCTGGACGGTATGCACTTGAGCATACAAGTATCTATAAGCAATTTGTTCGGTATGCACATGTGCATAACATGCACACGTGCATAAAACCAAGAAACAACTTCAATTACTTGTATGCACGTGCATACCGTCCAGATTAATGGTTACCAGAGCGTTCCTCAGTTTTTCATTTTTTTGGGGGTTTCCCCTTGAACCTCCTTCTCTCTCTCTCTCTCTCTCTCTCTCTATATATATATATATATATACACACACACACATTATCTTTTCTCTAGTCTCCCACTTTGTATATATTTAGTGTATATATGTCCGCCTTGGGGATTACGTCTCGCCTCACTGAGGGAAAACGCCTCGAAGCCTGATTCCGCTTTTTAAAACCTTGGTAACAAGCCTAGCCCAAAACTGTAGTCCAATCCAAATAACTTTCAAGCAAATAGAAATATGGGAGGAAGTTACCGTTAGAAACTAGTTTTGTTGGATGTGACTTGGATGATACATCGACTGCTTTTTTTCTATAATCAGGCTCTGAAGCAGCTACAACGATTGGATGCTGGAAAGCCAGACTCTCATCGCTGTTTGGTATGCCATTTACTTGACGTTTAAATTTAGTTACTACTTCACATATGTACTGTCTGATAGTTGCAAATCTTCATTTTGAATATTACTTCATTTTCTGGCTTTCTCAATGATAAAAGTATGTCATATGGCTTTTCGTATTCAAGACGTTGATCTTTTAGTACGGTTTTACAGTTAAGATTCTTCCATAAAGTGGCATCAAGGCCTGCTCCTGCCACCGATGGTGAAAAACTGATTTCAGGCGTCTTAGAAGCAGAGCGACCAACTTTCAGGTATCTTTTAGGAGATGTTTGGTTGGTTTTCCATTAAGTACTGTATGGATAAAGCTGTCTGTGTGGATTAATCTGTCTCTGTAGATAGGAAAGGTTTTTGTTTGGGAGGGGTTTTTCGTAAATGGAATGAGCGTATTTACTAATTGGGAGGGACAAGTTTGGAAAACATTTGGCTTTCTGCATAAAGCTCCCCGCTTACTGACTAAGCCACTTTCTATATCATTTAGCCACTACCAAACAGTCATGTATAGCTGACTAAATAGGCTGTTAGTCTCATTAAGCTGCTAACAAAGAAGCCCTTGATGTTCTAATAAGCATTAGACGTGGTTAAGAATTTGGGTGACCTAGCACATAATCGTCTAAATGGGGATTAAATGGATGCCTAACCGGACACATAGTTAATTTTGATATACAAGTATACTTGATGCTTAAGGGCCCGCTTGTTAGCAGCATAGTGCGCTTAATTGGACTCACAGCTTATACATGAATATTTGGTAGTAGCTTAATCGTTATAAAAAGTGGTTTATTCAGTATGCTTGCTTTATGCAGAAAGCCAAGTTTTTTTTTTTTCAAACCTGCCCCTCCCTGTTAAAAAACATGCTCCTTCCATCTATGAAAAAAGCATCACCAACAAAAACCTTTCCAATTTATACAGACAGATCAATCCACACATACTGGCTGGTTTACTCTAATTACCATTATGTTAATTTTTTTTGTCATCTCTTTTGTAGTCAGTTGCATGGCAAATCGCTAGTGGAAGCAAATGCTGTTTTTCTTGAGCAACATAAAGGTTGTTTTTTTACTTTTAAACCACTGATTACATTCTTGATAATATGTGCATACATTACGATCACTTTTCATCTGTAAGAATCTGTGCTGGTGGTTTGTGCAGATTCCTTGATGCACAGAGCAGCAGTGGCCGAGATGAGTTATTGTTTAGAACCAAACAAGAAAGGCGAGGCCATCAAATTGATCGAAGAATCTCCCAATAACCTTGTGTCTAGGTAAGTCGGGCTAATAAAATGCATGATATCTATTTGGGTGTGTTTATCCGGACAGGAACAGAACAACTGTTCAGCGTTGGGTAAGACAAAACTGGACAGGACATGACAAATAAAATGATCAATTTACCCCTAATGAGTTGTTTATATATTTTATATAAATTGATAAATTTATGTAATTTATTCAATTATAATAAAACAATTTTTATAACAATATATATCATTAGAGAATTTTCGTCAATACGATTAAAATGACTCCAAAATAAAAAGTTTATGTAGTTTATTTTATACCTTTTCTATATTATTTTTTTACTATTAGTATTTAATTAATTACATAAATTAATCAAAATATAGAAACAACATAAAAAATATTTTGAGGACATTAAAGTGAAAGTTTAAAGAGCATAAAATACAATAAATAAAATATAAAGAATGAATAAAATGTAAAGATAGAGATGCATTTGATGTTTTAGAAGAGAATTAGGTTTTATTTTGAGGTTATATCGGTAAAATATAAGTTTGATTCACCTTGTTTCATGGGGTGGAGGTGGAACGCACCTCTTCCACTTTGTCTCATATTAAAGTCTTGCCAAATATGGAACAGTGATCCATGTTCTGTTCTATCTTGTCTTGTTCAGTATACCAATTATAAGTTGGTCATGTGGCAAGCTAATGACGATTGCAATTTTCACATTATATTCTTCATCTTCAACTTCAAGAAACTGACCAGTAAGTTGGTCTATGTTGATATATACTTAAAAAGATCTGCTGTGTTTTTGAATCAGTAATGGATCACTTAGAGAATGGAAGCTAAAAGACTGTGTTGCAGTTCACAAATTATTGGTATCTAATTTTGATGATCAAGATGCTGCATTGAGTAAGTCGTCGTTTATTTTTTCAATTTCTTGTCGAGTAGCTGCCGATGCTAGGCTTGTTTCTTGATTCATATAAGTGGGACCGCCATCATGAATTGCTAAATGGCGAAAAAGAATCCAACCCATCATGTTAACTATTTCAAGTCACAAACTTTTGTGTTTTGTAGGATGGAAATCCCGATGTGCAGGATACTTTCCTTACTCGAGCTACTTTGAAGGCCGCCATTGCTCTGCAAACAGAGATTCGAAACAAGCACACACTGAAAATGGATCTGTTGAATTCCTTCCATCAAACGGAAAGGTAGAAAAGCTCGAGGCATTGAAGAATCTTGCGATCTAAGTAAGACATGCGGGCATACAGATCGTTTCTTGGGGTACAAGTTAAATGACTAAGATTGGTGGATCAAAGATGGCAGGTAAGAAGAAAAGAGATGGGTATTTTAGTAAAATCCAACCTCCATTTGTTTATGGGAGGATTCCCTTGACGTCGTGTATACTTGGGTTGAGTTGAGTTGAGTCGAGTCGAGTTAAGTTATGTTTAGAGTTGTTTTTGTGGAGGGTTAGTTCTCAAGAGAGTTATGTTGTACTTTGCCTTATTTTTAATTTATCATCATCATGATCATGTACAAATGCTATCAAAATTTTGGCATTGAATCTTTTACTTACTATAAAACAAGTTGATGTTTCAACTTTACTCCCAACTCTTACTTTTTTTCATTCATCTACGTCAGTTCAATCTACGGTTTTGATAGTTGTGAGAACCGACTGTTCATGAATTATTCTGGCAATTATCGTCAAAAATGAGAAAGTATGGAGTTTAGAGGGAAAATTGTGGTGGTTTAAATATGTGTAGGCAGGGGCGGATGGCCATTAGGGCCTTGGTCTCTGGGCTTTTTTTTAAGATAGAGTAAAGCATCTTCAATCCATTAAAGTTTTTATGTATAAAATTCTTTTGGGCCCTTTTGCTATTGCTGATCCAGTCCATTTGTGTTCCGTCCAGTAGGAGACCAATGGTTGTGCCGATGAGGTAAGTAGGTGTAACGAGGAGGGGCAGACCAAAGAGGTCGTGGGATGAACAACTGAGGTTATATTTGATAGTATTTAGACATTTTTAAGGACATGATATCTGATAGAAGGTGAGGAAAGTAGAAAGTGTAACAATTGTGGGACCAAGGGGTTGTGGGATGAACATATGAGGTTATATATGACAGTTTTAGATATTTCTAAGGACATGATATCTGTTAGAAGTTCATGGAAAATTAGGACCAAGGTAGTAGATTTTCTTTATGGATTTGTGGCAGGTGCGAATGGGAAGTAGGGAGATTTTACGTACGGACGATCTGATCCACGACCTTAGGTCGCGACTATAGTCGAATTAATTCAGAGCAGACCCACATTGATAGATACAGTGGCAAGCGCCACCGCTTCATGGTATCGTCGAAAGGAAAAAAATTACGTTTTTGAAAGGTGTCACCGTATTGTTTTGTTGGGGATCACCATATAGTTTTTGAAACTGAAATGGTAATACAAGCATTTAGTTCTCAAATTTTTTGTTTTCTTTTATGTATCTCTTGTTTTTAACAAAATTATATGTAGACCGGACTCGAACATGGGTCTTTTCTATATAAGGACAACTAACGTAAGTAATATTGTGGAAAAAAAATTAGATACCTTCTTATAGTCATATTGTGTCACCACTTAAAAATAATTATGGATCTGCCTCTGCATGAATTACATGTGACACATGATTTTAATTTAAGATCATATATTATCTGACTGTTTTTTATTTAGTTATTGTTAATCTACTCTTTTACATCCAAGGACAACTTTATAAACGAAACTATATAGGGACTGTTTGACAGTTGTTAAATGGTTTGATGCAGAATGATTAAGTGGTTGGAATGATTAAGAGGATCTCATGAATATAGTGCAAAATGAAATATAATTGTTTGGTAAAATTTACAATGAAATTAGGGCGTTGAATGATTAAGAAAAACCCATGATACAAAATCATTCAGATAATTTTAGAATCATTAATAGACAAAAAAGATTCATCTCTTAACGATTCAGAGTATACCTATCAAACTTGTGATTAAAAGCACAAAACAGAAAACAAATAGAACGAGTCATTAATGTTAATTATGCCCATTAAGATATAGAACAAATCCACGTGTCACTCAATTAGCCACACATCAAATATCAATGTATCCATGGATGCATGTATGCACACGTTCATGAGATACCAACCACATATCATTCAGCCAGTGGGCCCTACTTAATTAAACAACAATCAGTGTGACCCCAAAGTAGGGCCCATTGGGCCATATGGCACATAATTTTGGTTTTAGTGTGTTGGGGATTTCCATGGGCCCAACCCATTTAGCCCATGGCCCACCAAATGTGTCCATATTCTCTTTCAATTATTATTATCAAGAAATTTACATGAAGTAGGTCTCAAGATGTGACATTCAAACTTCTCCCTTCGACATCATGGGTTACGTGTAAGGACACCTTAAAACCCATTATGGTTTTTTCAATCAACAAAAAAAATGTCTGGGTTTTTAAGGCTCGAGTCGAATCAGGTTTTAGGGTCGTTTAATCGAACTTCTTTAAGCTGGAGTTTTCGGGATCCGATCTAGGCCTGGGTCCACCACCAATAGCCTGACTGGGCAGTGACACATGGTTTTGTACTGGGCTCGGGTTTTTTGTGTATCTCTAAAAAATGAATATGAAATTAATTTTTTTTTAATTTTGGGTTTTTGGTTAAGTTTGTTAGCCTGACTTTTGGTTAATAAGATAACTGATAAATTACTTATATTTGGTAGAAACTAGGGGTGAGTATGGGTCGGGTCGGAGAGGATGGGTCGGGCCCATTATGTTTGAACCAATCGGGTTTCGAGGGGGGGGGGGAGGTGTTATCGGAACTCAAACCCCGATTTTCTAAAAGATAACCCACGGGTTTCGGATTAGGCGGGTTTTGCTCACTATTAGTACAAACTAGATGATAAGTTAGATAACAATGAAAATGATCTAAAATGACGATGAAAAAGTGCTTAATTCCAATATGTAAGAAGTATAATTGGAAAAAAAGTGAGAAGTCCTTGTAGCTTATTGAAAAGTTAACCGTAGCTTATAAACTGGTTTATGATTTACTAAAATTTGAACTCAGTACTTTTTTTTAATGTTAACCATGGCCCCAAGAGTGACTGAGTCCGTTTGTGCGAACCTCGACTACCATAAGACCTTGAGAATAGACAGGCACTCGAACCGGTGACTTCTGTGAAGGAACCTCAAATGCCCAAATCGTATTGCAGTGAGCTAACTCAGTATTTTCTTTTGACAAGGTCGTTTACATCAATGTGTTGTTCAGAGGATTTAACATTTTCTTTTTTTTGATTAACCTGGATATCTAACCCGCTATGCGAGCCGACTAATCCCAGGGCGACCACCTGCTTTGCAAATAGCCCGAAGTCACTGCATTTGAACCTCCGTAGCCACAAGGGGATTTTTATTTCTTTTTGGATTTGAATCCGAGACCTCCTGATACTTTTGACCTTTGGAGTCAAGCTCAAACCAATCAGGCACCACCCATTAGATTCTTAAACTCGTACTTCTTTGTCTATCGACCTTAATTCCTTTATTTATATTGAATGGTCTTTTAAAGACATCTATGGAATATAAATTTACACGAGAACAGATAAACCGATAAAACTTAAATCCAAATAACATCCAATCAGCAATTCATGATTAGATGTCTCTTTGTCTTGTCACAATTGGTTGCTTGTTGTATGTCTTATCAACAATAACATAATTAAAGAGATGAACGCTTTATTATGTACTAGAAGGGTACCCACACAATACAACGAAATATATCTTCATTTTAATGTTTCATTTTTTTTGTCTCTGTTGATATAATACAATTTATATGGTTTTGAGAAAGATAATGTTTTTCCGATTTACTGAACTAATTTATTTTTTCCTTAACAATAAAATTTTATAAAGATAATGATTCTGTTAGAACTCAATGGCTATCATAATTGTATTTGATTATGTTTATCTACAGTTAGTTATACGAATTCAAAAATGGAGCTTTAATAAGTTGTACTTACACACAATTTACTTGTAATCTTAAATTTTAAGTAATATGCATTACTACACAATATTTCATGCATAAATAATGATTTTTAAGAGTTTTTGTCTAATGTTTTATAATATAGTATAGATATATATATATATATATATATATATATATATATGCACTTAATTTCTTTATTTACGAAAGATGTTAAATTCGATAGAGGTGAAAGAAACTTGCCTTTTCAGTGTTCAAAGTGGATGATAAATATCTTTCGACTTAAATGGTATTAAATTCGATTTGGAATTTATCGTTTAGTGATATATGAGTGGGGTCAATCTTGTCTTCATAAACCCTCGACCGCCGAATCACCTGTAGATTCTCGAATTTCATCCAACGGAAAAAAAAATATTTAGTTCAAAAGAAACATTCAGTATTACATACTTACATAAACTGTAAACGTTATATCAATTTAATGTAGTGTGAGTAGGCATGCCAACGGGGCGGGGATGAGGCGGGTTTTGTAATCCCCATCCCCGTCCCCAGTTTTTTAGTAACAGCCCTAGTCCCCGGCGGGTACGGGGATTAACATATCATCCCCGGTCAAACCCTGATCCCCATCCCCATTCAAGACCTAATTTTAGAAAATAAATAATATATATATATATATATATATATATATACATATATTATATAAAATATATTAATAATGTTATATACAGGGTATGGCACGGGTTGGGGGATACGCTATCTGGCCCTGACCCCAACCTCGGTTTGAGTCTACCGGGGATCCCCGCCCCCGGACCCGTTTTAGCGGGAATCTTCGTCCCCGTTCAGGTCGGGTGAGCCGGGTTTCCCACCGGATCGAGGCAAATCACCATCCTTAAGTGTGAGTGTGCAAATCACCCAAGTACGAGACTCTGATTTATCATGGTTTCGACTTCTTGTTGAAATTCACTAAAATGAATTTTTAAAAGTAGAACCAAGATTAAATATCAGCAATTTTCTAAACCAATTATTTCGAGTAGTTTTATAACATGAACAACTTTTAACATGTTAATAAAAAGGGCAAATTGCATGAAAAAAGTAACGTACTTTAACTTGATTCATATTTTAAGTATCGTACTTTCAAAAAACTTTCATTTTGGTACCTAAGATGTAAAGTTTTAAACATTTAAGTATCCGAGTAACTGATTAAAGCATTAACCGGTTACCATGCTGATGTTTTGAGTGATGTGGTCACCGGTTAATGATCGCCACATTAGCATGGTAATCGTTTAATGCTTCATCCGGTTATCCGAGTACTTAAATGTTTAAAACTTTACATCTTAGGTACCAAAATGAAAATTTTGAAAGTACATTAACCAAAATATTAATCAAGTTAAAATACGTTACTTTTTCATGCAATTTACCCTTAAACAAAAATTAAATGTTAATTGTATTTGAAAATTGGATTGTTTTTGTAATGAATTTCTAATATTAAGATGATCGGTAACTATTTCAAAAGTTCAAGGATCAAATTGTAAATTAGGTGAAAATCCTTTGCTATTGTTGTAATATGCCAATAACATGATAAAACACTACATGTCTAACATCCCAAACTAATTGTATCAGATATTGTCTGTTTTATCTACATTTAGATTCACGGTTTTAAAACACATCTGATAAAGGAAGTATCCAGTCTCTTAAGACAACACTCGTTTTCCTCCTCAACCGACGAAAAACTAAAGAACGTCGTTAGAATCAATAAATTCCCTTTTAAATAATTCATTGTACGTCATTTTCAGCTGAAACAATACATGCTATAGTTAAAAATTTCAAAAGGCCTTGATTATCATTCAAAAAGCTGTACGTGGACTATTTCACATCATAGACGCAGTTGCACACGTTCGTCTCGTTTATGACATTTTCCGTATCTAACGAGACTTAAAAACAAAACGGGTCATTCTATTTAGAGACCAAATCCCGAAAATCCTGCAAAACCCAATATTCGACATTCTTTCGAAGGTCTAATTCCTAGTGAATGGCAGGGTCGGAGTCGGGCCTACAAGGCTGCAAATATTGAATTTTGCGTTCTTGTTCGGATTACGATATCGATCGCATATCATACCCTAAAAATTGAAAATAGACAACACTCATTTATTCAACTCAATTTTTTTTCAAAAAAACAAATAGAATTTCCGACAAACAAAAAGTGCACAGTATTTTGGGCTTGGCCCATTTGATTTGGGCCTACACGTGGTGGATAACATGCCTAATTACTGAAACCACGTGATTATCACGTGACTATGCCCAACTTATTGGCCCTACGTTTCATGTCATAACGCACGTTTCAATTTGGGTCCGAAATTCTAACGTAATATTTTTGTCCATAAATCATATAAATGCATATAATTAGACAGATGATATAAATGATTGGATTCACGTGTGACCATGGGTTTTTCGTGAGACCCGTAAGACCAATTTATGTTCATTGAATAACTTTATAAGCTAATAATCTAAAGTTGCACGGTGACAATTTTGTGATTATTGAGAAGTCTCGTGGCAATTTTGTGATTATGAATGTTCAGATTGTAGATCTAATCCAAGAGTTGAGAATTGCTCTTACGGGTCTCACGAAAAACCCTTAGTCTCACATGATCCCAAGTTGATAATATAAATATAAATAAAAAAAAATAAAAAAAAAATAAAATAGAAATCTGATATATTTTAATTTATTGGTAGGATAAGAATGAGACGTTATGACAGATTCGTTGATCCAAAAGTCCACGTTTTATTTTTGTCAATTGTTTATATTGGACAAAAGTTTGATGTGTATTCACGTGATTGGTGGGACAAAAAAAGACGATTGACACTATATTTTTATTTTACGGTGTGGTGTATATATTATCGAGGAATTTACATAATCATTTATATATGAAGAGAATGGAGGAATCGTGTAAAAATTAAGTCAAAAACGCTAAGTGGTTGAAACGAGCGGATACGTGACCCGTAATAATTATAGGAAATGTCTCATTGCCTCCTACATCTGTTGAGTTTTTCCTTTTGAAATATATAATATTTATATACAACAAATGCAACAAATAAACTCACATATGTTCTTCATATTTGAACCTCTCTAACTTCCTAGGAGGCCAACAGACCAGTATACTGCTAAATCAAAGCTGTTTGATTTTGGGATTATTCTTTTGGGATTTAATTTTAAGAATTCATGTTTTGATACAACGGGGTCGTTAAAGATTAAAATTACTTTTACTGGTACTTTTAAACGACACATAAAACCCCACTTGAAAACCAAATCTAATCATTATATTTGGTTCAATTATGAGTATTTTGTCGATACCTAGTTTTTTTTGCAATCAGTATTTTTGAATTCATAATCAGTTCTTTTTTAGAGTACGATTTATCTTTTGTTTTTACTTTTTTAACGGAGATGTAGACAAAAATCACATTAAAGAAAGAGTTGTTACACTTTACAGACAATTTATAATGAAAGTTATAATCACATCTTTTAGTTTTGCAACATATGCGGTTAGATAGAGGTTTAAATGAGAATAATTATATTTTAGAAAAATACAATAATACCCTTATCACATGTGATAATACATGTGAAAGATTTAAATTTGGTAGTGTGCAGGTTGTGCCAATGGTTGTTTGCATCTGATTTAGTATCACATGTGATGGATTGTATTATCTTCTTAAGAAAACTGTGATAATACACGTGAGAGAACCTAGTGGCGTAACATGTTGCTTGGCCCACAACCTTTGTCGTGTCAAAAGTTGTCTGCATCTCTGATTAAGTATCACATTTGCATCATATGTGATGAAATATAATATCACATGTGGTCTCACTTTTTTGTAAAATGAATCTGCTCTTCTTGAATTTTACGTTTGCGTAATGTTAATTACAAGTGCATTGGTCTTCCAATTCGCGCCTGTTTGTAACTTTCTTGTCTTAAACGTTCTGATTTTACCCTGAAAGAAACCGTATCACGTTGTTTCTTTATGTATACCACATGACTTAGAAGATGTATAATAAAAACTTGACCACGTGAACGTATGTAGTTAAACCACTTTTTCTCTTAAGCTAAAATTCATTAACGAGACTCAATCGGGCAAGTAATGTTCATAGAAAAAGCAAGAAAACTTAGCATGTCATGATAAATAACGGGTCAAGAAGAGAAACAGGATTTCTTGCCGAAACGTGAGAAACCCCATTAGCTTGTCTCCTAGTAAAGCAGACATAGGAAGAGTTTCGTTGAAGGAGCAAAATACGACACCTCGGTACAACAAAATTGATGCCTAAAATATATAATCATCCTAATACATGAATTTATAGGACCAAATCAAAAACCGTTCTATCTAAAACTATTACAATAGGTTTATAGGACGTTTTTTTTGACATTTCAACAAGTTCTTTTAGAATAATTTTATAATGATGTGTCATATTAGCTATTTTATACGACATTATTTGAGAACATGCCGTATAAACACAAATGTTCTATAAAAATGAGTTTATAGGTCACTTCTTAAAAATGTTCTATAATCTAATATGACATATTTATTTTAAAAATGTTCTAAAAAACTTGTTAAAACATACAAAACCGTACTACAAACCTATTGTAATACTTTCAGATGAGACCATTTATAGTTTAATTCTATAAACTTAAGTTATATAAATTATTCTATTAGGACATTTCGACATTTTAGACGTCCCATAAAACCAACTCTATTGTAGTGCCTCAAGATAATATCATTCAATTCCATCAACCATGAATAACATCAACTACTTGTTTGACATTTTCTAACTTAATTTGGTTGTATGTTCAAGGGATGATTGTGTCAACAAGGTTTTTCTAGACAGCTTGGAGGACTGCGTCTCACTTATCAAGATTTTACAGGGTTAGTAGAGTAGTTTTCAGAGTTTTACAAGGGTTTCTTGTGTAAATTTGTTATATATAAATTTGATGTAATTTGTTTTTTAGTTAACATTTTTGTTTTTTCTTAAATTACCTCTTAATTATATCTCTGAAGTCTGATTCATTCAGACGTTTAAGTATTAACAGTATTTGTTTTATTTCTAAAATAAGAGTTTAAAAGCTTTAAATGTTTTTTGAAATTTTAAGTGGCAAACGTATCCCTTAATACTAATCCTAATTTGCCTTTTATCCAATGGTTCATATTTTTGGGGGCTGTAAGAGATTTGTTAGCAAAAACTATTTATCTTTTAAACTTTTGTAAAAAACTACTTACTTTTTATATTTTTACACTAGTTTAACTCATTCAGATTTCATACTTTAAACATAAAAACAAACAATCTTACTGATCCAGATTTCAAACTTCAGAACCATCTCTTATAAATCAGACTTCAGCACCTCTTAAAAAACAAACACGTCTTTATGTAGTAGGTTTAGGGTTGTTTCATCTTCAAATCTTTTGGAGGTGTGTTGTAAGATTGAGTGATGATATATTGAAAATTATATGGGAATTTATGAAGCATTTGATTAAAAGATGATGGCGTTGAAAAACCAAGTTGGTAATTAATTAATTAATTGGTAAAAGTGTGAAGAATGGGAGTAAATATATATATGCATTGAAGATGAATTAGAATTAGAATTAGCATAGAAACAGCTTCGTGTTTGAGAAGGCAGAGATCGATCACATCATAAACCCTCATCAAATCAAATCTACCAACAAACCCTACCATCCACGGATCTTCCCTACTTAATATCCCAATCTTTTAATTCCTCTATATCTTTAATTAGTGTTAAGCTGGTGTTGGTTGCAATACATATACATATACATATACATATACATATACATATACATATAGTATAAGTTCACCCCACCCCCACCCTTCACCTTCATCTCACGACCACTAACATGATTGACCCCCCTTTTGCTCTTTCCATGTCGTCTTACTCTCTTTCATTCTATATCTATATCTATATCTATATCTATATATACATATGATAAAGAAAACCATGAACTCATTGCTTCTCTGAAAAAACAAAAGAAAACCCTAAAAAGAAAGAAATGGGACCTCAAGGGCTTGGGCTTGAGATAACTGAACTAAGGCTAGGGTTACCGGGTGGTGGCGGTGAAAGAAGTGAGAAGAAGAGGAGGGTGGTTTGTGGTGGTGGTGGTGGTGGGAAGAATAGAGATATGGATGTGGTGGTGGTAGGGTGGCCACCGGTGTGTTTGTATAGGAAGAAAAGCATACAAGTGAGGAAAATGTATGTGAAAGTGAGCATGGATGGGGAACCAATTCTTAGAAAGGTTGATTTGAGTTGTTTTCAAGGGTATTGTGATCTTGGCATGGCTCTTGAGAACCTGTTTCATTGTCATGGCATTGGTATGTGTTCTCTACTCTCACCTTTTTAAAAGATAAATTCATATACACGATTAATTAGAGTGCGTATTCATTTGAAAATCGTAAATATTCATAATGAATAAAGTAATAATTAAAATGAATAGATATAGGTGAAGCAATGAAGGAAGAAAGTGAGAGTGGTGAATACGTAGCCATCTATGAAGACAAAGATGGAGACTGGATGCTTGTAGGAGACGTACCTTGGCTGTAAGTACTTCCATTCATTCATTCATTCATTCCCAAATCATAATCTATTTATATACTTGGGATCATGTAAGATTAAGGGTTTTTCGTGAAACCCGTAAGACTAATTCTCAACCCTTGGATTATATATGTATGTGTGTGTATATATATATATATATAAAGGTACCCATGTAATACAACAAAATACACCTCGATTTTAATGTTTCATTTTGTTCAGTTTTTATTTATGTTATAATACAATTTTATATGGTTTTGAGAAAACAATATTTTTATTTTTTAATAAAATATAAATGTGAAAATATCATAACAATTTGAAATATATATCAATATTAATATCAAATTAATTATTTAAAATTTCTCATTTCTTTAATAATTTTTTTTATAATTTAATTTAAGTCTAATAATGAATTAATTTATTTTTTATTTAATAATATAATATTATTATAAAAATAATAATTTAAGTACTCTGTTAGATTTCAATAATTATTTTAATTATAAGTTAGATTTTTTATATTTAAAATGAAATATTTATCCAGAATTTAATTATGTTTATCTGTAGTTAGTTACACGAATTCAAACATGAAGCTTTAATTTACGCACAATCAACTTATAATTTTGAAGTTTAAGTAATATACATCAATAAACAGTACTTTATATATAAAAATAATTTTTAAGAGTTTTTATTAAATACTTTATAATACAATATATATATCATTCTTTTTTGTTCTCTTCTCTCAATACTCCTGCTTTGTAAATTATTTTAGTATTTAATATTATATTAACTTATTAATACGTTTAAAGTTTAATTTAGCCAAAATTATAGATAGTATATGTTCTAACTTTTAACACAAATTTGAAAAAAAAAACAGTAAAAAAAATATTAAATAAGATTTTGAAATCTAATGGGGGTTGATATTTTATTGGATTTCGTAAGATTTATATATAATAAAAAGGTAGTTCAATTATTTTTATATTTATTTATTAAAAAATCTATAATTCTTTTATATAAATAATTTAATTTAATTTCATTCTATATCCTACAAACTAAACACATAAAAGATTCCAAATTATTACAAATCCAAATCGTCCCACGAAAAAACAAATCCATCAAAATCATTCCATTAAACGTCCCCCTAATTTATTCGTTGAAAAGATGCATCTTAAATTTCTGAAGTATATTTATGATTTTATATATAGGTTACATACAATACTATTGGTTTTATAAGACGTCTAAAATGTCTAAATATTCTAATAAAATATCTTGAATTTATAGGACCAAATCAAAAAAATATCATATCTAAAAGTGTTACAATAAGTTTATATGACATTTTTAAGCATTTTAACAACTTCTCTAACACGCTTTTAGAATAACTAGAAGTGTACTCGCGCAATGTAACGAAATACATCGTGATTTTAATATTTCATTTTATTATTTATCTCAGTCGATGTTATAATATGGTTTTATGTGATTTTGAGAAAACGATGATGTTTTTATTTTTGAATAAAATATATGTTAATATTTTAGATTTTTTATATTTAAAATAAAATGTTTATCTTGTATTTGATTATGTTTATCTGCAATTAGTTACAAGAATTCAGATATGGAGCTTTAATAAGTTGTACTTACGCACAATCTACTTGTAATTTTGAGTTTTAAGTAATAT